CATGGTGTCCATGGATAAGATGCATGTCGGCATTATGTAAAATGTGTACACTAACACACATGTCATGCATGTGGTCCACACATAACACACATGTCATGCATGTGGTCCCCACATAACACACATGTTAGGTGTGTGGTCTGCATGCAACATGCATATTTCATGTGTGGCCAAGGCACACCATGCATTCTTCATGTACTTCCAACTCATACTGCAAATGTGACCTGAATAGCATGCATGCTACGCATTTTATCCATACTACGCGTTATCGTTGCATCCCCTAAGGGGATGAGTCGCCGGCCGCGATGTCCGCGGATAATCGCGATGTCCGCGGGAGGTTGCGATGTCCGCGGATAATCGCGATGTCCGCGAAAACAAGCCATCCCCTAACGTTTAATCAGTGTTGCCACAGGTGGTTTGCGGTCATTTGACTCGTTTTTTTAACTCCTTTACAGCTAGGTTTATTCAAGTCCTCCCTCTTTTTTTGCAAGTCAACTTTTTTGCGCGAGCGCGGCGCACAAGACTACTACAGGCAGGTGGGGCGCAAGGAGACTAACGCTCGAAAAAAATTTTTAAAACAGGGAGGTGAATAAGCGTTTTTTACTCGTTCCACGCGGTTTTTACTCGTTTCACACGTTCTCTACTCGTTTCACACATTCTCCACTCGTTTCACGAGTGGCCCACACGTTCAACGAGTGTGTCGAGTGAAACAGGGGGCGACGAGCAGTGGGAGGAGTAGTTGTGTATTGAGGAAAGATTGAAAAGAAAAAGGAAAGGAGCGCCGGTCCCTTGCGGGTATTCCACTGATGATTGAATACTAAGGAAATAGTTAAGAAAGGCTTAATTCCGACAGAGTGGGCAGGTCGTTAAACGAGTTTAATCAGTGTTTTACGAGGGGATGGCTTGTTTTCGCGGACATCGCGACCTCACGCGGACATCGCGATTATCCGCGGACATCGCGAACATCCGCGGATAATCGCGACCTCCCCGCGGTGAAGAGTAGGCGGTCCGGGGGAGATCGCGATTATCCGCGGACATCCCGATCTCCCGCGGACATTGCGATTATCCGCGGACATCGCGGCCGGCGACTCATCCCCCTAGTTAAACGAGTTAAACGCGTTTAACGAGTGTTACGCGTTTTCGTTGCATCCCCTACGCGTGCTACGCGTTCTACACGTTTACGGCATCTTGTAGCACATGGTCTATTTGGTCTGGAAAATTAATGGCAGGCCGCTAGCTATCAAGGCAAGCGAGAAAACTGGTGAGCTTTACTTTGATTGGGTG